TGCAAAAATGGAGGCTCTAGACCCTTCCAGAGCTGAGATATCGAAACTCAAAATTTCGACCCGAAAAAAAAACGACAGTGTTACCCCTTTCGTTTTTTTTTTTGGGCGAAAAATTAAGTTTCTCCAATCTTCTCAAAACTCTGGATTCTGATAGAGGGCCATGAGACTTAGACCTGAGTGCAAAAATGGAGGCTCTAGACCCTTCCAGAGCTGAGATATCGAAACTCAAAATTTCGACCCGAAAAAAAAACGACAGTGGTACCCCTTTCGTTTTTTTTTTTTTTTGGGCGAAAAATTAAGTTTCTCCAATCTTCTCAAAACTCTGGATTCTGATAGAGGGCCATGAGACTTAGACCTGAGTGCAAAAATGGAGGCTCTAGACCCTTCCAGAGCTGAGATATCGAAACTCAAAATTTCGACCCGAAAAAAAAACGACAGTGGTACCCCTTTCGTTTTTTTTTTTGGGCGAAAAATTAAGTTTCTCCAATCTTCTCAAAACTCTGGATTCTGATAGAGGGCCATGAGACTTAGACCTGAGTGCAAAAATGGAGGCTCTAGACCCTTCCAGAGCTGAGATATCGAAACTCAAAATTTCGACCCGAAAAAAAAACGACAGTGGTACCCCTTTCGTTTTTTTTTTTCGGGCGAAAAATTAAGTTTCTCCAATCTTCTCAAAACTCTGGATTCTGATAGAGGGCCATGAGACTTAGACCTGAGTGCAAAAATGGAGGCTCTAGACCCTTCCAGAGCTGAGATATCGAAACTCAAAATTTCGACCCGAAAAAAAAACGACAGTGTTACCCCTTTCGTTTTTTTTTTTTGGGCGAAAAATTAAGTTTCTCCAATCTTCTCAAAACTCTGGATTCTGATAGAGGGCCATGAGACTTAGACCTGAGTGCAAAAATGGAGGCTCTAGACCCTTCCAGAGCTGAGATATCGAAACTCAAAATTTCGACCCGAAAAAAAAACGACAGTGGTACCCCTTTCGTTTTTTTTTTTTCGGGCGAAAAATTAAGTTTCTCCAATCTTCTCAAAACTCTGGATTCTGATAGAGGGCCATGAGACTTAGACCTGAGTGCAAAAATGGAGGCTCTAGACCCTTCCAGAGCTGAGATATCGAAACTCAAAATTTCGACCCGAAAAAAAAACGACAGTGGTACCCCTTTCGTTTTTTTTTTTCGGGCGAAAAATTAAGTTTCTCCAATCTTCTCAAAACTCTGGATTCTGATAGAGGGCCGTGAGACTTAGACCTGAGTGCAAAAATGGAGGCTCTAGACCCTTCCAGAGCTGAGATATCGAAACTCAAAATTTCGACCCGAAAAAAAAAACGACAGTGTTACCCCTTTCGTTTTTTTTTTCGGGCGAAAAATTAAGTTTCTCCAATCTTCTCAAAACTCTGGATTCTGATAGAGGGCCATGAGACTTAACCTGAGTGCAAAAATGGAGGCTCTAGACCCTTCCAGAGCTGAGATATCGAAACTCAAAATTTCGACCCGAAAAAAAAACGACAGTGTACCCCTTTCGTTTTTTTTTTTCGGGCGAAAAATTAAGTTTCTCCAATCTTCTCAAAACTCTGGATTCTGATAGAGGGCCATGAGACTTAAACCTGAGTGCAAAAATGGAGGCTCTAGACCCTTCCAGAGCTGAGATATCGAATCTCAAAATTTCGACCCGAAAAAAAAAACGACAGTGTTACCCCTTTCGTTTTTTTTTTTCGGGCGAAAAATTAAGTTTCTCCAATCTTCTCAAAACTCTGGATTCTGATAGAGGGCCATGAGACTTTGACCTGAGTGCAAAAATGGAGGCTCTAGACCCTTCCAGAGCTGAGATATCGAAACTCAAAATTTCGACCCGAAAAAAAAACGACAGTGGTACCCCTTTCGTTTTTTTTGGGGGGGGCGAAAAATTAAGTTTCTCCAATCTTCTCAAAACTCTGGATTCTGATAGAGGGCCATGAGACTTAAACCTGAGTGCAAAAAAGGAGGCTCTAGACCCTTCCAGAGCTGAGATATCGAAACTCAAAATTTCGACCCGAAAAAAAAAACGACAGTGGTACCCCTTTCGTTTTTTTTTTCGGGCGAAAAATTAAGTTTCTCCAATCTTCTCAAAACTCTGGATTCTGACAGAGGGCCGTGAGACTTAAACCTGAGTGCAAAAATGGAGGCTCTAGACCCTTCCAGAGCTGAGATATCGCATCTCAAAATTTCGACCCGAAAAAAAAAACTACAGTGTTACCCCTTTCGTTTTTTTTTTTCGGGCGAAAAATTAAGTTTCTCCAATCTTCTCAAAACTCTGGATTCTGATAGAGGGCCATGAGACTTAAACCTGAGTGCAAAAATGGATGATCTAGACCCTTCCAGAGCTGAGATATCGAAACTCAAAATTTCGACCAGAAAAAAAAACGACAGTGGTACCCCTTTCGTTTTTTTTGGGGGGGCGAAAAATGAAGTTTCTCCAATCCTCTCAAAACTCTGGATTCTGATAGAGGGCCATGAGACTTAAACCTGAGTGCAAAAATGGAGGCTCTAGACCCTTCCAGAGCTGAGATATCGAAACTCAAAATTTCGACCCGAAAAAAAAAAACGACAGTGGTACCCCTTTCGTTTTTTTTTTTCGGGCGAAAAATTAAGTTTCTCCAATCTTCTCAAAACTCTGGATTCTGACAGAGGGCCGTGAGACTTAAACCTGAGTGCAAAAATGGAGGCTCTAGACCCTTCCAGAGCTGAGATATCGCATCTCAAAATTTCGACCCGAAAAAAAAAACTACAGTGTTACCCCTTTCGTTTTTTTTTTTCGGGCGAAAAATTAAGTTTCTCCAATCTTCTCAAAACTCTGGATTCTGATAGAGGGCCATGAGACTTAGACCTGAGTGCAAAAAAGGAGGCTCTAGACCCTTCCAGATCTGAGATATCAAAACTCAAAATTTCGACCCGAAAAAAAAAACGACAGTGGTACCCCTTTCGTTTTTTTTTTTTCGGGCGAAAAATTAAGTTTCTCCAATCTTCTCAAAACTCTGGATTCTGACAGAGGGCCGTGAGACTTAAACCTGAGTGCAAAAATGGAGGCTCTAGACCCTTCCAGAGCTGAGATATCGCATCTCAAAATTTCGACCCGAAAAAAAAAACTACAGTGGTACTGTACCCCTTTCGTTTTTTTTTTGGGGTGAAAAATGAAGTTTCTCCAATCTTCTCAAAACTCTGGATTCTGATAGAGGGCCATGAGACGTAAACCTGAGTGCAAAAATGGAGGCTCTAGACCCTTCCAGAGCTGAGATATTGAGATCCCACATAGCATTTATCCCACTATTTTTATAATGGCGTACATGCTAAGTTGGATGTCCATATCTCAGCTCTGCAAGGGTCTAGAGCCTCCATTTTTGCACTCAGGTCTAAGTCCCGTGGCCCTCTATCAGAATGCAGAGTTTCAAGAAGATTAGAGCAACTCAAAATTTCGACCCCAAAAAAAACCAACAGTGTTACCCCTGTCGTTTTTTTTTTTTTTTTGGTGAGAAAAAATAATTTTCTCTATTCTTCTTGAAACTCTGGATTCTGATGGAGGGCCATGAGACTTTGACCTGAGTGCAAAAATGGAGGCTCTAGACCCTTCCAGAGCTGAGATATTGAGATATTTAGTGGCATAAATGTTACGCGGGATCTCAATATCTCAGCTCTGGAAGGGTCTAGAGCCTCCATTTTTGCACTCAAGTCAAAGTCTCTTGGCGCTCTATCAGAATCCAGAGTTTCAAGAAGATTGGAGAAACTTATTTTTTCGCAAAAAAAACAAAACAAAAACGAAAGGGGTACCACTGTCGGTTTTTTTCAGGATTGAAATTTTGAGTTTCTCTGATCTTCTTTAAACTCTGGATTCTGATAGAGGGCCATGGGACTGAAGGCCAAAGGATGGAATGGACCTTTTTGTCGGCCTTGGACTAGCTAGAGTTACTGGAAATCGAAATACAGTGACTTGCTGGCAACCGTCCTGCCAGTACTGTAAAAATACAAGAAAACACAGGATGCACACAGGAAATGACTCTAACATGAATGCATTGATTGATTCCTAGGTTTATTTTGTCATGAATAAACAACTGTGCAATATATAAAGGAAAAACCTTATGATTAAAGTTATAATGTTCAAGTTTTTGTTCTAAAAAAAGAAAGATGCACACAGAAAATTACTCTAATATGACCAGATTGATTGATTCAAAGATATTTAGTTTGTTACAAACAATGTGCAATCTGTAAAACAAAAACCTCAAAATAATAGTTGAAATGGTATACTGCTGGAATTTTTTTGACCTTGAGAAAAAGCTCAAAGTATAGACCAACAAATTTTATGTTTATTAATTTATTTCATGTTGGTACATTTTGGGAAGTACACCTGTTTTGACCTGATGTCCATTGGAATGGACAAAAAAAAAAAAAAAAAAAAAAAAAAAAAAAAAAAAAAATCGAAAATGTTTCATTTGTTTTCATTTATAGAAACCTCATGAGCTGGGAAAATGTACTTTTATATTTTTCAGAAACTTGAGATCTGAGGGGGTTAACCTTTTTCTCTTTTAGGTTATGTTTTGAATGTTTATGTTTGACTCTTTTCTGTGTAAAATCTACATTTTATGTAAAATAAATAAATAAATTGCAAGTAAGACTTAAAAAATCCTGTTGTTAACTAAAAATAGTAAAAATAGTTTTCAGGGAATGAAATACAGTTGAAATACATCACTAAATTACAAAATAATTTATAGTTAACTAAGTTTTAGATTAACTTAATTTAAATATATATATATATATTTACTAAACCTGAAATTAAAGTATTTCTATATAGCTTTATTTTTAAGTTTGTAGACAGAGATATATTATATAAAAGATGTAATTTGACAGCACAAAAATCAGTAAATCCTGTTTTCTCTTTGAGTTCAGGTTTTGAATGTTCACGTTTGACTCTTTTCTCGGGTTACGGTGTGAAACGGACCTTTAGTGGAAAAAAGAAAATGCAAGCAAGACTTAGAAACAGTCCTGTTTAATATCCAGAGGCATTCTGGGAGACCGCATGTGTTGAGTCTGGGATTAATCCTCGCTAGTGAACGCATGCTAGCTCTGAAACTGAAGCGGCGAGAGTCTGACACACACATCAGTCCCTGAGGATGAAGAACTGCTTTGTTGTGAGCTTCGCAGACTTCATGGAAACACAAACGCGGGACATCCGCCTCTTCATCCGCTCTTCAGGACGCGGCGTCAGCTTTACTGAAGCGTAGCACAGAGAGCCTCTCTCGCCCGGCCTGACGGGTCACACACACGTGTCCGTTCAGCCCAGCTTTACCCAGCAGAGACACAATCTCCTCTAGAAGACACACAACACAGGTCACATCAACACTCTCACACACTGCAGAGCGAATCTAGCGGCATCTGGTGGCGAGGCTGTGAACTGCACCCAACAGTTATAGGAGCCAAGCCTTTATTTGTTATAATTTTGAGGATTATGGATTACAGCTTATGAAACCCAACATTGAAAATGAGAATATTGTGAAAAGGTTTTCATATCTCGCTGTAAGCCATAATCCTCACAATTATAACAAATAAAGGCTTGAAATATCTCACTTTGCATGTAACGAGTGTGACACACACACACACACACACACCTGGATCATTATCTGCCACGGTCACCAGGTAGAACAGCCCCTGGTCTGACAGCAACTGTGGAATCATGGGAAATAATCGGTCCATCACTTCCCTGCCGCGAATCCCACCGGCCCACGACGCCTCGATCCCACGACCGCCCACCTGTGCAGAACACACACACACACACAAAAGTCAAGTCAGCGCTTTACAGATCGCAGATTTAGAGAAAACAGGACAATAATGCAACAAAGTGTGTATCCAGAAGAGAATATCCTCACAGTCCAGATTCAGATCAGTGACGCTTCATTTCTATATAATAAAGTTATTAATTTAGTTCATATATATATATAGAGCCGCTCTGGAGTAAACAGTGATGTCATCCTCACCTCAGTTCAGTTCTCAAATAATGCTGTCAATGCAGGAGATTAATAATATTGCTGAATATTAACCCTTGTGCTGCATTAGATTTTTAACACCGTTGAGTGCATTAAGGACCAAAAATGGCCACATATTAAACATTGCCTAAAATATTATATATTATTATTATTTTTTCACTTTTACCAAGTTAAATCTTTTAACCAGCATCAGTCCTCATCATAACTACCAAAAATGTATTCAATTTCAGGATTTTAACCCTTTAATTACCAGTTTTGTTTGCGAAACCATCGATTTGTATAAGAGGAAAAAACACAAAAATTCAATTATTTTCAATAAACTAAATGCAAAGAGAAAACTTTAGATTTGGATTATCACAGTCCCACTTTGCAAAAAATCCCACTTAGCGCGTTAGAGACCAAAAATGGCCACCTATTAAACATTGCCTATTGCCTAAAATAAGGTGCATTTCCACCCATAGGGAATAAATATGTAGTGACGTCATCTGGTGGAATACACTATATAATGCAAATATAATGCTTTTGCTTCAAAATGAAAGGATGTTTGTGCAAAAATCATGTTTCATGTATTACTGACAGCCTCAGTTTTAATGGGTTTCAATGGGCCATTTTTGGTCTTTATGGTGCTGAGTGTTACTATTTGATCTACACAGTGTGTGTTATACATATTTTGCAAAATGGGATCACATTTTTTACATGTATCCAAAAAGTCACAATTTTGCCAAATTTCATACCATTTGCATTAAAACAGCCAAAATGGTCAAAGAAATTAAACTGCAAAAGACCAAAAATGTCCCTCATGCAGCATAAGGGTTAAATATTGTCCTCAACTAAGCAAGACAAAGGGCGAAAAAGTCAACAGAAAACACATGTTATGAAATATTGCAGTGTTTATTCTAAATTATTGACTCATTATTGTTTTAAATTGATGTGTAATCTTGAATCAGCATCTCTTCTGTTCTCTGATCACGAGGGCGGGGCTTTAACCTGTCACTCACATGAGATCAGCCAATAGCAAACCACAAAGTGAGTGGAGGCGGGGCTCATTTGCATATTCATAGAACTGCACATACTAAATGAGGCGAGGGTGTTGTGTTACATTCAAGATATTAAATGATCAAATATGAGTTTTAAGGGATATAATGATTGACTACCGGGGACTTGAAATGTTTATAGATTTTAACTTTAACTTTTGATTTTAAGGATCACATTCAGAGATTTTTTTTCCATCAAAAACTAACATTAGTTGTGAGTGTGTAAGATATCTGACAGCTAGAGGAATAATCTTACGATTACATCAAAACAGCTTAATCTGGTCACATGACCTCACACTGGTTTACCTCTTCTGACGGTGTGACGACATACGGCGGATTGAAAACAAGCACGTCCACTTTTCCCAGCAACCTCGGCAAGAGACACTCGACCTGTGACACAGGACAGAACTGGTGAACTCCTGAACACGGGCGGCACACACAGATGAAGCCGCTGCTTGAACACCAGCGTCTGCGCACAACCTGGAAACACAGCTAATGAAGCTAATGAGGCTAATTTCCTTCACACTTCTATCCGCATCGAGTGTGTGTTTAAGAGCTCCTGTCTCTCACCAGGTCGGTGACGACGGGCTGCAGACGGAGCTTGTTGAGGCGCGACGTCTCGAGTGTGTAGAGAGCAGCCGACGGGTTCACGTCAGTGCAACTGCACAACACACACAACACACACAACACACACAACACAGCTTTATTCACTACAGATCATTTCAAAGCAGGAAAATAACAGAATCGATGATCAGCTTGAGTCAGTTCAGTCACTTTTAGTTTTGCAACCACTCACTCACTCCCTCCCTCACTCTCACTGACTCACTCACTCACTCCCTCCCTCACTCTCACTGACTCACTCACTCACTCACTCCCTCACTCTCACTGACTCACTCACTCACTCCCTCCCTCACTCTCACTGACTCACTCACTCAAATAATCCCTCACTCGCTCATTCTCACACTCACTCACTCACTCTCTCACTCACTCACTCTCTCACTCACTCACTCTCTCACTCACTCACTCCTTCCCTCACTCTCACTGACTCACTCACTCAAATAATCCCTCACTCACTCACTCACTCACACACTCACTCACTCATTTTCACTCACTCACTCACTCACTCATTCTCACTCACTCACTCACTCTCTCACTCACTCACTCACTCACTCCCTCCCTCACTCTCACTGACTCACTCACTCACTCAAATAATCCCTCACTCGCTCATTCTCACACTCACTCCCTCACTCACTCACTCTCTCACTCACTCACTCCTTCCCTCACTCTCACTGACTCACTCACTCAAATAATCCCTCACTCACTCACTCAAATAATCCCTCACTCTCTCACTCACTCACACACTCACTCACTCACTCACTCATTTTCACTCACTCACTCACTCACTCATTCTCACTCACTCACACACTCACTCCCTCATTCTCACACTCATTCTCACACTCTCTCACTCCCTCATTCTCACACTCTCTCACTCACTCATTCTCACACTCTCTCACTCACTCACTCCCTCACTCACTCACTCACTCATTCTCACACTCTCTCACTCACTCCCTCACTCTCTCACTCACTCCCTCATTCTCACTCACTTACTCACTCACTCACTCACACACTCACTCACTCGCTCGCTCACACACTCACTCACTCACAAAGTGTCTTATTTCTGCAACCCCGTGGTGTGTGTGTGTGTGTTCTTCTTCACTCACAGATACAGCGCGTCAGAGCCGATCACAGACGCCAGGAAGGCGGATACGACGCCGGATCCGCTGCCCACCTCCACACACACACACGCTCTGAAAGCACACACACATCAGAGGATCAGACCGGCTCAGAGACGTCACATGACCAGCCGAAGTGTTCAAAACAGGCGCCTGATTGCACACTGACCCGTCAAAAGCATAGCCGACAGGTTATGATGTAATGATTTATGTCCATTTGTCATTAAGACATCTCAAACAATGTCATATTTGCATTAAAAATATCATAATTGAGCGAATGACACTTAAAGACAGTGCACATGTGGACTCGTGTAAATCACCTGCTTCCCTTCAGCCGGCCGGCGTCGCTCTCCAGCGCGTCCATCAGGAGGAAGGAGTCCTCGGCCGGCTCGTACACGTCGGAGAACGAGGAGCCGGGAGCGAACAGGGGCGTCGGGAACATCAGCGTCTGAACGCCAATCAACAAGAGTTATTAACACTCATCCTTCCCTCATTTTTGACCCCAAAAAATAAATAAAATTGAGTGTTGTGTTCATCAGAGGGGACTTTTGTCACACTTGAACCACAATTACACAAAAAAATTAACATTTTTTATGGATTCAAGGAGTTTTGTGGTTGAAATACTAAAAAACAACAACAAATCCTTCCCTCGCAGGTCTTAGGAATGAATGGAATAGAAAGAACTAAAAATGCTGAAATATTAGAAAAAATATATTTGAGTATGTCTACATTCATTTTGACCTGAAACTCATTTTTTTCCCAGACGCCAGGACGTTTGTCGCACTTGAACCACAAATGCACACGCAGGGCTGTCAAACGATTAATCGCGATTAATCGCATCCAAAATAATTACACACGGTGCACCCACATATATTATGTAAACACAAATTTTTATTTTGGATGCGATTAATGTGTATAATTATTTTATAAATATATAAATGCACACACATGCTTGAATATATTTAGAGCTGAATTAAAAGAGTTACGCATGAAATTGTGAGTTATTTTGACTCTAAGAATGTGAGGAATGTGATTAAATTACTATTTATTTATTTTTTATTGATCAAGGCTAGTAATTTAAAGTTAAATAAAATAACAAAAACAAAATTGCATTAAAAATTATTAAGAAAAAATTATAGTTTTAGGGCTTCGGGTCATTTTGACCCGCGAGGGAGAGATGTGTTATAAAGTGTGACGGAAGGATGAACTCGGCATGACAGTGG